TATAAAAAAAATATTAAAAATCTTAAATGAATAATAATTTATTATATAATAATAATTTATTATATTTATATTTATTTTAAATAAATAATTAAAAATATTAAATAAATATAATATAATTAATACGATTCACTCTAACACAAAATATGAATTCAAAAAAATACATTTTAATTATCTTAATATGTTATTTTTAATTCAATTTTACATAATTTAATTTAATATAATTAAATTACCTTTTAGATTTAATTTGATTTAATATAATTAAATTATCTTTTAGATTTAATTTGATTTCTTCATACGTAATGTGTATATATATAAAAGGTTACTATATTTAACAACTAAGTTGAATTGGTGTGGTGGTAGCAAAGGCTGCCCTTCAACACTTTTGACCCAGGATCGAATCCCATATAGGGCGTGCAACATATTTTTTTTTTAATTGACACATGGGTCGCCATGTCAGCGCAAAAATGCCATGCAAGTGACACGTGGAATGTCATGTCAGCAAAAAAATTCCATATCAGCAGAACGGGCCGCCACGTCAGCAGAACAGGCCCGAAGTTGGCCCGTGTGATTCAAATTGCAAAAAATAACTAAAGTGATGTATTAAATTGCTAAATTGCAAAGGTGGTGATTAAATTGTAAAAACATGAAAGGTGGTGCATTTATATGCAATTTTGCCTTAAAAATTCTAATTAAGTAATTTTTATAAATTAAAAATATAAAATCAATAAGAAATACATTTACATACATTAATATATTGAATATGTTATGGGAATGTGCTAAATTTTGAGAATCATATCAACTTGATTTTATAGCAAATCAAATTAAATATCGACTTTCATACACACACCAAATAAAATTCGCTACTTATATTGTTTTCAAAATTTTTAAATTCACTTCTATCCATAGCAAATAAAATCCACATCATTTAAATTCGAATATTCCATACCAAAATAAAGTCGCCCTTTAAAATTGATCATTTATTAATAACAACACATTTTCTACCAAGAATAAAGATGACCATCAGATACCAAAAATAAAATTGTCCACTTTATGCAAAAATATAATTTATTAATTTTACTTTATACAATAAATTTATTAATTAATTTGTAGGGGCGATTTGTAGAAATTTTTGAAAAATAAGTTAATATTAGTGGGCCAATTTTTATTTATTTTTTTTTCACAGATTGGGCCTTTGGTTAAAATGGCGGAAATCTGCCCATCATTTATTTGGTCATTTGTGGATTTAATTTTGGAACGGGCCAAATGCACTATGTAGCCAAACACGAAAAACAGTCCAAATTTTGTCTAAAAAAAAAGAACAAAAAAAAAATAGGATCTAACGGTGGAAGTTAAGTCAACTGCATCAAACGGCCATTAGCAGCCCATCGTGACTATAAAATGAAGGATTTGTGCTAAAGTAGTGAAATCAAAGTTTTTATTTAGATTTTCTAGTTTACGAAAGTGTATAGTGTAAAATATATTTTGTTATTCGGATATTTAAGTTTTTTTGATAATATTTGCTAAATGTTAAGATACAAAAACTAAATAGCATACCCAATAGCCTATGCATGAAAAATTTCGAATAGTAGAAAGTGGAAGAATCAAATTAGCCTGTTCATTTTACGTTTTTTACAAAACGTAAGAGGTAAACATGAAATCGTGCCTTTCATGTATGAGAAAGATGGTATGAGGATGATGGGAGATGGTACAGAAATGCACCAAATCAAGAAGGCGAACCTCAAACATCAAACATTCTTATAAACCATAAGAGGTAAACATCAAACATCCTTATAAACCAACAGTTGCAAATTATTATCACATGATATGATGAAATTAAAGAAAATAAAATATGGTTAGTCCTATACTAATCTCATATCTTTTATGACAAACATTTAATTGGTACCTTTGTCCTTTTTTAATCATTTAGCAGCCATATTTGTTGGTTCTTTTATTGTTGATAATTCCCAATTCTGCAACAATAGTGGTGTTGTTTTCATCCCTCGGTCTCTTTTTTGCTTTGGCTTGATTGATGTTGGAATGTGAGAAATTTGCACCCGTAGTCTTCTTCATAACTTGTTTTTTTTTGTTATAAACTGTGAATTAAGTAGCACAAAAAGACTCCAATTATCTGCAATTTGAAATAGGATTAAAAATAAGATGAAGTCTATGTATCTTGAGAAAACGATTAACACAAAGGAATAATGATATCTATTCTAAACAAACAATACAATAATGATATTTCTTCTAAACAAACAACACAACTCTTTGTTGGTGCGGTATAGGATTAATAGGATTGAGGAAAGTCGAAGATTGTGTTGTAGAATTTAGGAGGATAGTTCTTTATATGTGTTTTGTTTTGTAGGGGGAATAATAGTTATACGTATGTTTATGTAAATATTTGTCAATTTTTAATCAGATTCACACTGCTTATTTTATTTGTCAGCATCTGTAAATAATATTAGAAGATTTAGATGTCATAGAATTCTCAATAACCAAACATAATAGATTTGTTATTTGTTAGGATTCTTTCAATATCTTAGGAAAAAGAATAAATCGTACTATAATTTTATCTAGCTAATGTGATACATAATAAAAGTTATTGTTTTCGTAGAATTCTGGCTTATCGCGTCCATGAAACATGTATTCCATCTTAATTGGTTTTGATATGGACACTGATTTACATAATATTCAATTTTGGTTTTTGTCTAATAGTATATAATTCAATATTTATTTATTTCAAAAATTTGTGTAGGAAAACTATATAAACATTTGGAAATTAATGATTAAATATTGCATATTGGGTTGTTCTACAATTGCGAAGGATATTTGCAAGATCATGGGTGATTTTTTGTTTTTATTTGGCCAGATTATGTACAATAATTAAATTCATTTATTTACTTTCATTATTGAATATTAGTAGCACCAAAATTTTGGACATGAATAAGAATCAATTTAATTGATTCAGTTTAGTTCGAAAATCATGAAAGATCTATATTTTTTATTTCACCAACTATG